TATATATATAGAGCATATTATATATGAAAAAAAAAAAACAAGTAATGAAACAAATTTATATATGCAATAAATAAATGAAATCAAAACTCTGAAGTCAAATGTTTCTATGAATACAATTTGGGAGACTTTTAGATCAGTTACTGATTAGTTTCAATTTTCTGTGATTTGATTATAAATTAGATTGTCTCTCAGATCACTATATTATAGTTACTTCTTAAGTTTAGATCAGCCGCTTTCTGTGTTTAAGCTCAACAGATGATAATGTTAGATTTTGAATACTTTTTAGATCAACTGTTGATTGTTCTGTTGATGTTTATGGCACTTTCTGTTTAGATCACCTTCTGAATGTCTTTTATATTAATTGATTGTTGTGCTTTAAATCAAAAACGGATTGTGTATTTAGATCAGTTGCTGACTTCTTTTAGATCACTGTGTGTAAATTACTTTTGAAGTTTAAAGCAGCTGCTCATTATGTTTTAGATCACTGTGCTATGTCTTAAGTAATTGATGTTTTAGATCGTCTGTCTTTTAGATCTATTACTGATTCAGATCAACTCCTGATTGTCCAGGAATTCACGGATCATATTGCGGCACGACTTAAGCAACGCCTTGTTGCATGCCGCAGTGGAGGTGGCCTTCTGCTTGGCTTTCACTATTGTGCTGCCGCCGATTGCCGCCACGCTGTTGTTGCTGCTGCTGCTGCTGCAACTGGGCGTGGGCGTGGGTGGCGGCGTCGCCTTGGCTGGAGTCAACGAGCGGCGCAGCAGATGAGGCGGGATGCTGCGCTTCTTCAGCGGCTGCGATGCAGCAGCCATGGAACTGCGCATCGGCTCCTTCGGCGTGGACTCCTCGGCGATGGGTTCGAATGAGGCTGCTCCTCCTCCTCCTCCAATTACTGTGGCTGTTGAGAGCGGCGGCGTTGTCTGCTTGACATTGGCGGCCTTGATCTCGTACTGATAGCGCAGCATTAGCAGTGCGGCAGCTGCCTCCAGCTCGAGTGCGCCATAGTTGTTGATGTACGGCAACTTGTCGGACTCAGTGTACGGCTTGCCCGTCTTCTTGATCAAGGATGCCATGCGACTCTTCATGCTGACGTTTGTAGTTGGACTGTCTACCCACCTAGCAGTGCTCGCCGCTTTTATGCAAGCTCAAGGATTTACCTGGCCACCAGGTGAGGTGGATTGCGCCAGGCTACCTGCCTATTGACCCGTGTCCGCTAATAAGTGAACTAATCCGCGGCAGCTGGCGTAACTTTAAATTTCTTATTACCAGCCAGGTAAGACATCTTCCATAATAAACCTTACCCATGCAAATGCCATATTTGGTCTTAGACATTTGTAGGATCATAAACTTTAACTGGGAATCGTAACACTTTTCAGATTCTCAAAATCCATCCATTTGTCAGTTACAATTTGAGTTTGTTCACAGAATTTTTTATCCTAACTTAAGATTTTTCCCACCTTATTAAAGATTATAAAAGGTTTCATTTCCTTTATACAGAAATCATACTGATATTCTTTTGAATAGGTTCTAAATTTTTGTTCTGATCTAGACTATATTTTATTTCTAGAATAATAACAAAATATGTGTATATCTAAGGTGCTTGTTTCACAAATTTTATTTGCAAGCCTTCTTTAAATGTAGGCTTTTAAATGAATTATTTTGAGTGTTTGTTTTATGCTATTTAACAGATTTTGCAATGGGTGCTATAAGCTGCATTATAATATAACATACATTAAATATATGTATAGGATATATATTAAATCAAGTACATAGTTGCTCAATTATGAATTAAATAATAACAATGCTTTCTCTTAGCATTAAAAAGAAAAGAACTGAAAAATGAAAAGTAAAAGTAATTCAAGTTGATTAGACGATAAACTATATAGCCAGAGATAATCTAGTAAACATATTTATTCAGCTTGATTTGGTTTTATTTTCTATTTTTTGTTTTACTCTATTTCCCTCTGTGAATCCAATCGAGCAGCTCTGATGTCTCAATTCACCATCTCAATTGGATGTTGACTAAAAATCAACGATTTATTCCAAAATAATAAAATTAACACTAAATTTTTGTTGCATTGTGCCTTGTGTCTGTGCTGCTCATGCATTTACAAATGCACACACACACATATACATATATACATATCAAGAAATATATATATATGTGTATATCTATATATGCTTTGAAGATTTTTAAATACATGCATTTAACTGCTGACATGGAACGTTGGGTGGCCCCGATTACGACGACGACGACGACGGCGACAAAGGCGATGACTACGTTGACAACGATAGCTTCTGGGTCCATTCGTGAAATAAATATATACATCTGACTTGGCTTGGCTTGACTTTAGGGTCGAAGGACAGAGTCTCTCTCGAGCACATCCCTAACTAGTATTACGCGTGTATCTCAAATAGTTTGGCAACCTCATTGAGATCATCATAGCTTTTGTTCTGATTGATTATCGTCCGCGCCAGTCCAATCCGATTGAACAGATTCCACAATAAAATGCCAACAATTTTTTCGTTCTGCAGATAGAAGATGACGCCCTTGCCATAGTTCGGCTCCTCGCTGGGATCGCAGCTCATCTCGGGTCCGGTTGCAGGTTTCAGTTGCTCGTCAGCATTCGCATCCGCTCGCACCTCTGTATGGCTATCCGCACGCTTCTCGTTGTTCGAGGGTATTGCGAAGACACCCACGGTGGGCAGCGAGGAGTCCACCAGGCCGATGCCCTCGTAGCCAATTTCTGGGCCCAGATCGGACCAGAACATACTCTGATGGGTGTACGGTTTCTCTGTGGATAAAGAGAATAGATTCGAGTATTCTCATATATATAAATATATTCATATCCAATGCTCACTCGCTCCAGTCATATTCTCGCCAGCTAGCCGGCCGGAAACCACGGAATGATCGTGATGCTCGACACGCCTGCGTCCCAGCAGCGGATCATAGAAACAGGATGCATCACCGGCCACAAACAAATTGCGACGTGCTTCCAGCTCCGCATTTACCACAAATCCACCCATGCTACGATCGACTTCCAGCTTCGAGGCGCCAGCCATTGACGTGTTCGGCGAGCAGCCCACGCAGACAACCACGATGTCGGTCAACAGAGACATGCCATTGTTCAGTTCCAGCTTCAGCTGGGACTCGTCCCGCGTGGCCGTGCGGATGCTGGCATCTGGTATCACACAGACGCCCTGCGCCTTCATCTTCTGGGTTGTCCACTCGCTCAGATAGTTGGGCAGCACCTTGGACATGTTGCCGCTCTCCTGGAACACCTGGTACACCTTGCCTCCGTTGTTCTCTTTGGAGTAGTGGGCCAGCGAACAAGCTAGCTCGCTGCCAACGAACCCATTGCCGACAATCGTGATCGAGCGCTTCTGCAGCGCGTAGCGACGCAGACGATCAAAGTCATCGGGCGTGCGGTAGACCATGATCTTCTCCTGCACACTGGGCGGGGCGTCGCGGAACATGGGCAGATTTTTGGGCGAGCAGCCGGTGGCAATTAAACACGTATCGTAACTGATTTGATAGCCGTCACTTAGTGTCACAATACGATTCTCTGCATCCACTTTCTTAACGGCAAAGCCTTGAGCTACGGCAATGCCGCCGTTGACGCTTTCGTCCAACTTCTCCGGGTCCACAAAGAATTCCTCTGGCTCAAAGTACAAACTGGGGGATATTTAAATGTGAGTCCACACAGCGATGCTTAGCGCATTCTCAGAGTGACTCACCTGCGTTCCGAGCCCGTCCACTGCTTGAAGCGGTAATCCTTAATGGGATCCTCGTTCGGATTTGGCGTATACCAAAGCTCCTTGGATAGAGGTGGGCGCATATATGGCTTGCGGAACTCATTGCTGATCATCAAAACCTTGGCCTTGGCGTCGTTAGATTTGATGGCGCGGAACGCGGAGAAGGCAGCAGTGCCGCCACCCACGATCAAATAGGGAACATGCGCTGGAAGTTTATCTGAGCTGCTAGGTGCTGAAAGGATTCAGTCGATCAGTGCCATAGATAGATCAAAATTAGCTAATCTGCCATTTACTTGTGACAAAGCCAGAGATTTTGGCTCGCTTCAAAGCATCCTCTGGACTCTCGCCATCGCCCGAACCGTCCTTGTTCTGACGTGACCACAGCCAAGCGATCTGCAAGGGATTACGAACTGTTATTCATGATAGATTTCTATATATGTGCGGCACATACGATGCCTCCGGCTACAAGCGCCGCCAATGCACCAAGGATGCAGCGTAGCTTTAGTTGTTTCAGCTTCTCTTCCGCCTTCTTTTTATCATCGTCTTCGCCATCACCGCCGCACACATCGCCGCCGCCTCCACGTGCAATGGTTGTCTCTCGGCGCAGGCGATGGAATTCCTCGCAAGGATCTTTGCATATGTCGTCAGATTTGTCGACGCTAAGTGCTGGCGGCTTCTCGCACTGCGAAGACTTCAGCACTTCCTGGGCAGTGGATGACGGTCGGGAGTCCGCATAGGCCTGGAAGAGAAACCGCACGTATTAGAGATTGCATATATAGGAGATGCAAATGAAGTGGCATGAATGAATGATGGAATGGATGATACCACGCGAAATTGTGGTTCTTGCATGACAGCAGATGCGGCAGTGAAGTTGATGGGCGGGCTCTGTATATTGGAAGCAGTTGTGATTGCCCCAACATCGTCATCCATATCGGGCACGAATTCCACACTTTGGGCCACTTTCATGCAGGCATTCTGATTCGGATACTTATTGGCTTGTAATTTAGAGCGTGCCTCAAGCGTACGTTTTTTTACCATTTGATACAAACTGTTGTGTGCCGGCCGGCTGATGCCTGCAATGGAAGACACACATTTTAATACAACAATTGTGATTTCAATCAAGTAATAGTGCATGCCGGTCTGCCAGTCGAGCATAACCTCACTCTAGCTCCACCTGTGCCACTGCGCCACTGCTCCAGTGCTCCACTTACCATTTATCAGTTGGGGAAGTCGATGTACGGGTTGTATGATTCGTCTGCTGGCTAATATGTGCGCCTGTCGACAGAACTTTTGACACAAACATCTCACACTCCAAATGCTCATAATACCGATTCGATTCGTATCGTTATGTGTTTGTCTCGAGGGGGCAATAAAGGCAACAACAACAAGATTTTAAATCTATTTGGGTTTTCTTGTGTAACAATAGTATAAACGTGAATGTATATATTATTGTTTTAGTAAATAAAAAAACGTCGTGTTTTGGTTCGATATGTGAATTAATTCTCAGTGAAAATATGACTCGAGTATCAGCACAGCTACATGTATTTTAAATGCGAAATTAGAAAGACTTTTAATTTACATCACACACATTCGGATCGGAATAAAACATTTGCACACACGCACGCCGTCTCCATGTACTGGCGCTTAACAACACTGTGCATTTGTCTCACGTACCGCCACGACCAGGGCTGGCGTATATTCTGTTTCATTTCACAATTCAAACAACTTTTGTGAAGATTCGTTACTTTTGTGCTGGAGTATGAATGATTTTTGTTTGCTTGTAGTGAAACAGTTAAGGCAATGTATATCAGTTTCAGCTTTAGCTGCTACCAATGCCACCCTAATCCATCTGAATGGAATTTCGTTCTCCTTCAGCCCATGCATTAGAATAAATCACAAGGATTATTACAGTTTATCGAGTCGAGCTCGATTCTTTTGTGCAAGGCAATAAATTATTTATTGACGGCTACGTCGAGTACATTGGTATGTTTGCTAAACTAATTATTTATCAGCCACAACTTGCTTCTTGCTGGCAGCAGCAGCTGCGCCACTCACCGGTGGCTTAATACCCATCAAATTGCAGAGCTCATTGCGTATCGGTCGCACCTCCACCAAGGGCAATGTCCAGTCCGTTTCCGAAAGTAGATTCAAGATCTCATCCATGTTCTCTTCCGGTATGTCGGTGACATCGCCGTGCAGCGCCAGAGCTTCGTATAGCTTGGTTGCTGCCGTCTTGCGCACATGCACATGCTGTAGACCGAGGAATACGGAAATTTTGGAAAGGATTCTCTTGCTGAGTCGGGGAACTTGGAGCAGCTGACAAAAGGTGCTAATACTGGTAGCTGTCTTGTACAGCTTCTTGTAGCCCTTGACCTCCAGATTGAGTAGGCGATAAATATCCTCGGCGAAGGGATTATTCTCATCGTGTAAGACATTTTCAACACTGCCCGAGCCGAGAAGAATGTCCAAGAAGCTGAGCATAGGATAGGTCACGCGCTCGTTCAGGAGATGACACTCGAAGTTCTGCACAATCTCCGAGCAGAGCCGCGGCACCATCTCCTGGTGGGCACGCAGGAACTGGAAGAGTGCAGCAGAAGCGTACTTGATCTGCAATAGAGATAAAGATATAGATACTCTCTCAGCTCAAATGTATTATCCGATGCTCAC